TCAATCAGAGCTCACAGTCGGGGTCCGTGTCCAGGCCTGAGGATCGCCTTTCCCACGCCAGCGCTGCGTAGGCTGGCTGTCCCGGGCTATCAATGCCCGAGTGTCGTGGCGGGAACCACCCCGGGATCGTCATAGCCCAGGTCATATGGCCCGGGCTCGCCGTTTCCACAGGTCTTGCTTCAGACATCGCTGGTGGACCGCTCTGGGGTTTGTTATGGGCCAGGCCAGGCAGCTTGGCTTCGACGTTCCTTGTCCAGCTACCAGCCTCGCTCCCCTCGCACTGTCTCGCGCCAGCTCATGTCTTCTCCGTCGGCCGCCTGTCACGTGCCCCTGCCTCGTCTTTCACCCTCGGCTCCCACAACTTTTCATGTATAAATACTCGAATTCCTTCCGTGCCCACCACGTCTCATCTATTTCGGCCAACATTTCTTCAAATTTACACTCACTAATTGCGTCCCTGCTCTCCCCCCTCCCCCCCCCCCAAAAAAAAAAACAAAACAACCAGCCCATTTCTCACTACTCCCTCATTTGGTGTCTTCATGTGCTTCAAGTGCCAAACTCACTGCGCATCCTTGTCGGATTTCTAATTCTGATTAAACCTCTGATTTCATGTATAATACCCCATTAAACTCTAAAGAAAGTATGTGCGTCTACTTTCATGCAAAATACGCCGTCTGAGTTGTGACATTAAGCAATGCAAAACGTCACGCTTGCATTGCTTAATGTCTGCGTTTTTTGGTCTAAACAGATGTTTCGGCATCGTCATTCGCTGAGCTGCCTCCGTAAGCTGCGGTGATTGGCTCTCCGAGTGTTGTGCGGGAAAGTAGACGCACAGACTTTTTTAGAGTGTACCAAAAGCCAGTCCCTGACATCACCACCCCTTTCCATATACCCCTGACCACTTCCCATATATTATAGTTCCATAGTGCCTCGAAATTCATAATATATTAATATCTTTTCCCTTTTCCAATAATATTCCCCTGATGTTCCTCTATATATTTCCTTCCCTAACTGAGCCATACTCTAAGATATTTGTATTTTCCTGCATTGTCTATTATAATTACTTCCATCCACAAGGGTTCCCTCTTCCTCGTTAAGCACAACTAGGCAAGCACTTCTTATGAGTTGTGAATGCGAAAGCATGAATGTCGTTCTTCCGCTGCCTTACTTCGTTTGCGGTCTAGTGGTGTGGACGGCCACGTTTCGTTACTGCCAAGCTTGCAGCCGCCGACGATATAAATGCCTCAGGCACCGCCATGTTCCTCGGCGCCGAGAAAAGCGAAAGCGCCCGCAGCCCCGCACCCGCCCTCCTGCAATTCCTTACACGAGAGTGGCAGCCGAGCGCGCGCTCCCGCGAAGCGGCCGTCAATAGGGACTTTTAGCAGGTCGTTTCCACACGAACGGTTCGCCTTCGAACGCCTCCCCGACGCCACTGCGCATGCGCGCGCGAGTCGTTCGGAGAGTCGGGAGGCTCTTTTCGTTCGTTTCTCCGATTCCTGCCGCTGGAGTCGTCACCGCAACGCAGCCAGCACCGTTCACGACTCGGGTAAAAAAAAAGATGGCGGTCGGTTCGGCGACCGCCTTCGCCGACCCAGCCGAGCGTTAGGCTTAGGACAGCGGGAGGCGATTTGCCGTCCTGTTTAAAAAGTCTGCTTCATTTGAGAGGTTGAACCAAATCATTTCGAGGACTGCTCACAATGGTCAGCGATCGCGAATGCTGTAAACTGCGCATGCTAGTAAATTTTTGCGATCTGCGGGCAGACTAGCTGCCGTGGCGACCGCGAACAGACGAAATTATTTGGTTCGACGGCACACAACGTGAACGATCGTTGAAGTTCAAGATGACGGAGACACACCACATACCTTTACGGTCGTTCAGACACTTTTTACTCTATCTAGCTACGCAGTTCTTGAAATTCCGACCTGCAAGTGTTACGTCCGCCGTCTTGTTTACATCAGTCCTACGCCGGAAACACGAGCCGCCACCACGGTGTCCGCCACCGTCGCCACTAATTTACAGGTTGCAGAATGTTTCACATGTTTACTAGAAGATGGCGCCACCATTAAGCACGATCATCATCATCGTTTGCACGGTCGCGCCACTTTCACGATTCGCTAAAGTGTGTCGAATTTGACGTACGGTTTTACGGAACGGACCAGCTGTACCGTTCGTGATTTCGGAACCGTGTGCTTGAAAAACGACTCGCTAAAACTCCCTAATGTCCGCTAGGAGTCATTTGGCTCAGGCAATGGGAGAATGGGCATTTCGTTCGCGTTTCGTTTTTCTTTTTTTCGATTACAGAAACCGCCGGCCGCTTGGACACCGCCGGCCGCTTTATTGCTTACTCTTTGGAATATTTAATGCTTTCGCATTAAAAATAAAGACGGAAATTACCCCCATGTTTTATTAGCTCCAAAGAGTAAGCAATAAAAAGATATTATCCACCTAAACAAAAGCCCTCTACAGCCCAGAGAAAGCCGACGTAACACGTGTTTATCTTTCTAGCCTCGTGAACTCTTTTTTGGCAATTTGGTCGGCTGATACCTTTATCTTAAAAGATGCGTAGCGAAAACAACGTGTTCGGGGGTTGTCAGGGATATTAACTTGTCAATATTTAGCTCCCTTTTTTTTTTCTCTCCACGATAATAGTATAGAACATAACTCAATTTAAAACGCAACTTTAGTTAAGCATACCTATATTTTATGGAACTTGAGATGTGGTAAATGTTCGCTACAAAGTACATAAGTATTAAAACACAGATAAATGTGCGCCATTGCTTCGTCCCTTCCTTTCACGATAAAACAATAAATAAGTTCCAGGAACGGGGTTCTGCGCAATACCGTTGAAATCTCACAGCCACGCCAGATGTTCATGCCCAGCGGGAGATTGCGAAGGCACCACGGAATGAAGTAAATTCGTGTTAAAAATGCGGTTCCAAGATCACACCCACGTTTCGCCACAGCCGCGCCGAATACCCGCAGGAACGTGCTCTAGGAACGACAAGAAACTTTCATTGCTGTATTTCACCGCAGTGAGTTTAATCGCACCGGGACCTGCATCAAGTATAGCACTGCACCAACTTTGAGAAATGTTGCGAGTGGGATGAAATTAAATCCGTGTCGTTTCGGGCACCGGAAAGCAGCCAGTGAAATCGTGTGTTGGAGAAAATATCAGTTCGGCTCCAAAGTTCAATAAGCAAATTATTCGTGGAGTTTTTTTTTTTTTTTTTTCTTTTTTTCACCTCAAAGGGGCACTGACACTCCAAGGGTTGTATTTTTTTATTGTCTAAAACGATACAAGCTGTAGTCATAAACATGCAAAAAATAAAAAATAAAACCGCATCGCGAAAAAACATTTTTATCACGCGCGCGAGCGCCTTTTTGTTTTTGGCGCTTTCCTCTGCCGCTCCTCGCCTCCTCGCTTCTTTTGATTCGTGACGTCAAAAATCATGAAATTCAGAAGCTTTGTAAGCGACATTTCTATAACATTTAATAACGGCACTAGTAAAACCTGTTTTTTTAACGCAATTGCGAACGCACCTCGGCCCTTCTTTTTGAAATACCAAAAATCGGAGTCCGGTGTGATGTCGCCTTCTGGAATTGTATCCTCCCTCGGAAAACATACCGCCTGGGCAGGCGGCACCGCTGCCACAAAATAAAACCGGTTTTTCTCGGTCCGCCGCCGCCCTTATATCCCGCTCCTCCTTTCGCCCTCGGTTCGGGTCGCGGTGGCAACAGCGCGGAGTCGTGAAAGAAAGTGGACTCTCAGGACTCCGCAATATTTGATGTCAACGCACCGGCGAGGATCGCGCGGGAACTTCCAATTCGGTATTTGGAAAGTGTTTTTTTTTTTTTTCAGGGACTCAAACCGTAACCGTAACCGAAACCGAAAACCGTTTAGGAACGAAGTTCTTTCAGTAACCGTAACCGAAACGAAATCGTTGTTTGAAATTTAGAAAAACCCTAACGATAACCGTAACCGTAAATTATTTGCCGTTAACCGGTTTTAACCGATATTAACCGAAAAAAAAATATTACTTTTTGTCAAGTATGTCCAGCAGGAGGGATCTTCAAATGTCGGGGCCATTTGAGAGAGTTGTTGTCAGCGAGTGGTGCATCTGGTAATATATGTATGTTCAGTCGATCTTTAGGATTAAGGATACTTAGTTGGAATCTGTGGTCGAGCTTATTGTAACAAAAGTCTTTATTTCTAAATCTCCCACACTCCTACATCGCTACATGTATTAGTACGTGTCGCCTTCAGGGTATTAACAAATAAGTTAGCATTCTCAGATCTCCATCCTACTTGGTTCTATCAAAACCACCGATGCTCCTGACATGCAGTAGCCAGTATGGAGAAACGAGGTAAATTGACCATCAGTCAGAGCTGGCGGGAAAGAAAACCTGGTATTCATTTAGTCTGAAACGTATCGCGAGTAACAATTTTGAAACACCATAGAAACAAGAAAGAAATATCAGAGGTTTGAGATTTGCGTTTTGTATGATATATACATATATATATATATATATATATATATATATATATATATACAACGGGCATGGTGGCGGGGGGCCGAAGGCGTGGGTATAGAAGAAGAAAAGAACCCTTAGTGAAAACAGCAACAACGGACGATTTAATCTTCGACCTTCGTCCGGCCTTCGTCAGGAAAACGAAGGCCGGACTCCGGCCGATACGTCGAAGATTAAATCGTCCGTTGTTGCTGTTTTCACTAAGGGTTCTTTTCTTCTTCTTCTCTCTCTCTCTCTCTCTCTATATATATATAGATATATATATATAGATAAGGGTTCCCCCCCCCCCGGGGGGGGGTTTCGAAATAAAATATATAATATATAAGGAGGTGTTAAGTGCCGTAACTGCAATTTATCCGCTTTATAAACTGACTTGCGGCGTCTCGTTTCTCTTCCCATTGACAAATTAACGGCTAGATTGCTTCTACGCAGAAGGATCCCAAGACTACATCGGACCATTGGTCAGATAATGCTGCAAAACGTAGGATCTTTGTTTACAGGCTTTTTGCTAATCATAAACGCTGCATCAACCGACCCCAGCTCCAACGAGAAAAGCAAATGCCAAAACGTTTCAGTACCTGCAGGTTTCAAAAACATCCCGTCGTCAGACCAGGACGTCTGGAGTGTAAGTTTTATTGTGAAAATATTGTATTACTTTACAATTATCAGCACTCTCATAGGCTTAGTTCAACTGATTGCGTGATTTCTCGAACCTTCTAGAGCGATATTAATCTGGTAATATCCAGTCTGAGGGTATGTTGTCTATCTCGCTAAATTACATAGGTTACGAAATTACATCTCGCTTTTTAGATATACCGGGTGTTTGGGAGAAAGAAAAAATGCTTTTTTCTTTTTTTTGTACCAAGTGAGAAAAATTCCAAGAATCATTGCACCCTGAGATTTTTATTTTTATCTTTTTTCGGCCTTCTCACAATTTATTTTCGGGAAGAATGGCGATTTAACGATTGTGCAGCATCGCAAGCGAGAAGGGGCTATCGAACGTCTCTTGCCAATAACACCAGGTATTTAACAGGTTGTAACGGGGTTTGTTCCTAAACATCCTTATGTATACTCCATTGCACTTTAAGTCGGATCGCATCCTGATCCAATCAAGCAGCGGCAAAAGTGCATCGTCATGGCACTGTTTTTTTTTTTTTGGGGGGGGATGAAGGTTTGAATTTATTGGTTGAACCAATTACGTACAAAAAGATACAAGAAGATCCAGTAATCGATTTTTGCGGAATCTGTTAGCATGTCCCTTGGAAACGTCACACACGCCTCCCTTTGGGGAGCGCTAGTGCTAACCCTTTCACTCTTTTCTTTTGGCTTTCTCTTTTGCTTCCTCTATCTGGTGCTGCCTCTTGGCCTCGTTACGGGGTCGGTATTAGCGTTTCCTAAAAGGGGCGGGTGTAGCGCTTCCAAGGTGGTGCTAACGGATTCCCTAAGAATCCACCAATGGATCTTCCTGGGTTCTTTTTCGCCCCCTTTTTTGTACTCTGTCGGTCAGAGTACGTCGAAGCCCTTAAATACGGTCGTCGATATGACTCGTGGAGGGAACCGCATCCATCGTTTAAACTACACACACACACACCAGAGCCTACGCGACGCTACTACGGAAACTCAAAACGAAGAACAACCGGCGACGGCAAAGCGGCAGCAAAGCACGCCCGCACTCGACGCACCGCAGCGCAACACCTCTTAGATAACGAAGTCGTAGAGCTGAATGAGATGGGGGCGTCATCAGAGAAGGCCAACGCTAGGCCCAGATTGGACACGACGATTACGTAAACGTTCGTCTCAAAGTTCAAGCTTGACTCGAAGCTGAGCGCTGACACTCAGCGCTCAGCTTCGCTCAGCTTCGTTTCAGGCACTCGTTTCCAATCTGTGTCCAGCGTTGGCTTTTTCTGATGACGCGTTCTCATTCAACACTAAGGCTTTGTTATCTAGGGGGTGTTGAGCGGCGCCTCCTCTCGGGCTCCGCGCCAGCTGTGCGCGTGAATTTGACGAATGTCCTTCAGTTTGTCAGCTCCGGGAAAAGGGCGAGAAGGTGGGGGAGAGGTTTACGCGTGTTGACGTCAGCGCTTTGGACCAATGGGAGCGTCGAACGCGTCACCTTCTCCCCCTTCATCTTCTCCCCCCCCCCTCCCCCCCCCCCCCCCCCCCCCCCCGACGCTGACAAACAAAAGACAGCGCCAAGTTTTCGCCAAACCGAGCGTTCTAAAGCTAACGCATTAAAAAAAAAGCGCAGGGTCACTGCGCCTTCACTGAGCGCGATCGGGTTAGGCGCTGAAAACAAACAAACAAAGGCGTTGAACGCCGTCACGTCTCACTTTTTAAGGCTGCTTGATTGGCTCCATCGGATCGTCGCGTTGGCTGCGGTCGAACTTGAAGCGAAAAGGAGTACAGCGAGACGAGGGTTCCTTTGCGAGAAGACTGTGTTGAGCACAAGAGTGTACACTCTTAAAAAAAAGAGCAAGTAGTGTTTCCAAGGTAAAAGCTAGTAGCTGCTTGACACATATGATACTAGGTATGTACCTAGCAACCGTATGTACTAACGGCCAAGCGGAAACGCAAGGAGTAAAGTGATTTCCGGTGGAAAAAAAGGTGCGTGTGGTTATACCACGTATGACAAAATGGCACCGGCAACAAAAATTAAAACTTGAAATTAGTGATTCAAAAAACTCTAGTCATCGTCTAATTGAAAGTACAAAACAATAACCGAGTATATATAGTTTATTTTGACGCTTCCACATTTGCAACTAGATACACATCTTGCACACAAATATTTTCAGCACACATTTGATACAATGCATTCAGCACAACTCACATACAAATACGACGAACACACGTGACACATTTACTCTAATCACTTTAATCGCAAACTCCCTTCACTGCCCTTGAGTCTTTTTATACTGACATTTTGAGTGCGGAAACTTGTCGTGAATCACCGTCACTGAGTAATGTCCAAAATACACTAGCCTTTTCGCACCAATATCCTTCATCACGGAAGCGTTTAAACGATTCAAGGCCTCTATCTCTTAGTAGAAAACAAAAGTAACAGGGAAATAATTTGCGACAGTAGATACAACAACGTCCCCCACCAGTTCTCAGCATTTATGTCTTCGCTTCCCCGCATATCAGCCGCGAACTAGCTTTTTCGTCGCTTACGTTAATCGAGAATTAAAACAAATTCGGACGCCGTCGGCGAGAGATTGCTTTCTTGCTGTCCCCCGAGGCTAACGAGGGCTGTAACTTACGGTGAGTACTACGGCAGCTGAACTCATTTCGCGCATTGCGCGACAGAAATGCATGCAAAATTAATACCACATGCAGGTCGCCTCTTAATCTAGGTGTAGTCCACCGACGAACGCTCGCGTTTCTGGGGTATATATAAGCAAATTAAAAAAAAAAAAAACTCGTAAATGCCAGAAAAGTTTTTTTTTTAGACCTAAAGCTAGCTACACAATTTTCGACGCACATGAATGGTCGTGACGGTGCGCTGTCATGACCGAAGACAGCTCAATCAGAATCATTCAACCACCCTGCACACACAGACCGCGAAGGAGACGTTCCTAGTGTCAAGTAGGAGCGAAGCAGCGAAGCAGCGAAGCAGCGAAGCAGCGAAGCAGCGAAGCTTCTTGGACGGCGAACCCCATGCCACTGAACCGGCCGAACGATCCCGTCGAACTGCGGATCCGGTGACAAGTGGTCCGGTCGTCATCGGCTCGTTAGAACTAACCGCGGAGCAGTTCACGTCCACGCACACACTCGCCCGGTCGATCGCACGAACGTTAACTATGCACTTCAACACAGGAACACGAGAACAGCACACGACACACGTCAAAAACGACAGGTTCAGATTTCAGAAATGAGTGAGCGTCTCGCAAACTCCGACCGGCCCCGCCCCAAAGTGCCTGCCGCACAATATTGCCAAGTGTCTCTTGTGAAAGTGAAACATATTTTAAAGAATGCAGGAAAACAAAAACATAATGAACCTTTCTTGTCTTTGGAAAGGTTTTTAGCACGTGCTACATGGCTATTTTCACAGTTAAAACCATAACGAAAATACAAACGCTTCCAAAGAATGCAAACGGAAATGACGTCACGACAGCGGTCATGGCCAGTGCAACAATGATGAACGCGCTCGTGACAGCGCTGGCTTCCACTAAGCTTCCACGACGTGCTAGAACAGAGGCTGCGATCCGTTATAAAGCCTGCCCCAACCCGTCAACATGCCCTCCCCTACAATGTTTGATGCGACGATTGTTTGTGGATACCTCCCCCTGCGTTCCGAAACAGTAAGTGTGTCGCTAACGCTGGCCATCGGCGATGCAGCAGACGCCGCCATCTTGTCCGCGACTTTGGAGTAGGAAATAGCTAGTAAAAATGTAGTAAAGGTCAGAAAAAGGTTGTAACCGCTGCAGTTACTAGCTTTTTACCTGATTTTGTTTGTAAAGAGTGTAGCACTTAACCGAGAAAAAAAAAAAAAAAAAAAAAGGGGCAACACGCGAGGCGCTGAGAAGCCAGGGGAGGTAGCGCGCCTCTGCGCGGAGCTTCCGACACTTCCGCTTTTGTCCATCAGCCATATGTCAACCCTTCGCAGAAGCTTCAGGAGAGCGGGCCCATGCACAGCATTGTTCTCGGAAAACGTACAGTGGGGCTTCTGGGACCGACCATGAGGTACATTATATGGTGTAATCAGAACGCCTACTCCTGCGGTGACTCTGCAGGCTACTTGACACGTGTGTGCTCGTGCGAGTTTTCTTCTTTTTTTTATCTACCTAACATAAACGTTTTTGTTCTTCTCATTTTCTTACACCACCTAAGACTGCTGGTAGAACAAGAAACACCAAAAGTAGAAGAGCAAAAGCATAAAAATGATTGAGACGTTGCCTTCTGTCATTCTGTTCCTTTCTCTTCCACTTAGGTTTCTTCTCGTTCTCCGTCCAGTCCACGGTGTGGCCGAGTTTCAGGTGGTCTAAAGGGATGCTGGATCGAAACTTAAAACATCTTCAGAACGTTCACAAACAAGTCGGACAGAATGAATATTGCGCGTAAATAACAATCCCACGCTTGTATTTTGAGAGGATGGCTATATTTTCCGCCCTTAATTCTGGGTTTTTGGCGAACGCTTTTAATTCTCCCGCTGAAGGGCGTGTACGCCTTCGGATATCCCATGAAGTCATTGAGTTCCTCGGGGCAAAGCGTATTACTGCATTTACAAGCTTGCGGTTCTTCCAGAGAGGAAACAACTTAGTAAGTCTGCTCGTGGAGCTTTAATCTTGCCTCAGGTGGCCTGCGAAATGGCTGAAAAAAAAAAAACACTTTCAAATAATTTTTTTTTTTTTGTGAAGACCATCGAAGCTTGGAATTTATTGGCGGATGAGATTGTGAATATAGAAACGGTGTCCTCCTTCGAGCATTCCATCACTGCATTGTTAAATTAATAAAACCGCAAACCGCCTCTTTTTATGTGATATATACAATGATAGATCGTTTTCAATTTGTTCCGCTATGCCTTTTTGTTGCGTTTTTGTTGCCTTTTTCTTTTGGAAAACCAATATTTAGCATTCCCTGATTCTCAATGCTTACGTGAACTGTCTGTTGTGGCCCGTATTTTAGAGCGCAGCTCTTAGGCGCCCGTGTCCGGCTTGAGCGGCGTCGGCGTCGGCGTCGGCGTAATCGCGCGGTGCATTATGGGTAAATTTCCCCCGCTAAATCTAGAGGAAAAATTTCCCCGCTAAATCTAGCGGAAAAATTTCTCCGCTAGATCTAGCGGAAATATTTCTCCGCTAAATCTAGCTGAAAAACTTCCCCGCTAAATCTAGCGGAAAATTTCCCCGCTATATTTAGCAGAAAAATTTCCCTGCTAGATTTAGCGGAAAAAATTTCCCGCTAGACCTAGCGGAAAAATTTCCCCGCTGAATCTAGCGGAAAAAATTTCCCCGATTTAGCGGAAAAATTTCCCCGCTAAATCTAGCGGAAAAATTTCCCTGCTAAATCTAGCGGAAAAATTCCCCGCTAAAGCTAGCGGAAAAATTTCCCCGCTAGATTTAGCGGAAAAAATTTCCCGCTGTCTAACGGAAAAATTTTCCCTTTAAACCTAGCGGAAAAATTTCCCCGCTAAATCTAGCGTCAAAATTTTTTCTGGGGAATCACATGACCCCCCCCCCTCCCCCCCGAGGTCTCGCGACACCCCCCCCACCCCCCCCCCCCCCCCCGAGAACAGGTGACCCGCAGTACCCTTCCCTCCTCCTCCTCAAGAGCTGCGCTCCAATTCGGTGTTACAGGTTAAACGGCTTTCATTTTTTTTTCTTGCATTCTTGCCCACTTTTAGTTACTTGGACCCTCACTGCAATGACCCTCAAAAGAGGGAGAAAGTAAATTCAAATAAATTTTTAAAAAAAAGTTCATAAGATTACAATAAACTTTCGTCGTTGTTCTTCTTGTCTGGCGGCTTCGTAGTTTGATACATGAGGGAGGCTTTTGACGGTTCAGAGTTCAAGACCTTTATTTACATTACAAATTCTCTACAATTTTATGTACAAGTAGGGAAATTAGCATCTCCGTCGAACTTTCTTACGGTCGTTCCAAAGCAAGAAAATTCAGAGGCAAAAATCGCCCGGCCCTTCCTGCCCCCTTACGAGCTTTCCAAACTTCGGTCCTTCTCGCCCTCCGTAAGGGATCGGCCAATAGGTTTGAATCCCTTTTCGAGTATCGTGCTGCTCCCCCCCCCCGCCCCCCCCCCCCCCCCCCTTCCAATGGCCGACACGGCGCATAAAGGCACATTCGTCAAGTTCCCAACGGACTCGGGGTGACAGCCGCGTAACTTCGACAGTGGTCGCTGTCGCCGTCTTCGTGGCGCCACAGCGAACCCCCCGGTCGAAACCCGATCGGCCACGGAGGATGCGCCGAGTGGCAGCCGACTCCGCATACAAACATAAAGACAACAAACACTCCTCGCGTCCGGCGACCACCCTGGAGGATGTCCAACATGTTTCGCCCGAATGTGCGCCAGTGGCAGACGCGGGGCCGCTAACAAAATTGACAAAACGAAACATCCCGCGGCGTCGCCCAATCTTACAATATCCCTTTAATGGACAACATTTATTTGTACGAATATTTTGTAAAAGAGCACAACTCTCGTGCATTTCATATTTCATTGGTGACCACACGATAATACTAAAAAATTCCGCGAAAGTTTTTTTTTTTTTTTTATCTTGGGATTAAAAATTAAATTAAGAATATCGAAAGGTTCAAAATGTGTGGAAATGTCGAACTTATTACATTAAAAATTTCGAGCACCTTCAAAATCTGCAATTTTAATCGCGCTGAAAAAGTGCGATCGTTTAGAACTCTCGATTTTGCTGCGCTAATAAATTCAACAAATTTGCAGTCTTTTCAAACGTCATCTATCATGAAATTTGAAAGTTGTAAGAGTGAACTTTCAGGAACCTTAAAATTTTCGACCTTTTCGATTTTGAACCTCAGCAGGATTCAAAAGTTCCGAACTTTTCGGATTTGAACTGTAACAACGTTAGGAATTTTTTTAAACCATCGGCCTCTGACCTTCCGAGGTAAACGGCATCTCTAGTAGTACAATAAGTAATTTTTGATAAATACCGTGTGTTTCTGCGAAGGCTTTAAAAAAATTTCTCAAACTAGTATGGTTGCGAAAAAGAAAGCAGCCTTTTTGGGAACAAACTGACAGCCACGGTGGACGGCAGAGATAGTAATAAAACATATTACTTAGCAAAACATGAACGTAAGATTGTCAATTACTTTTTTAATTAGTGAAAATACATATGTGGTTTCAGTTAAAAACGTGCTGAGCGTCATCGAAAACCCCCATAATTTAGGAAGACTCGAAGCACGTGGGAACAGGCGAGCTAAACTTTACCACTCCTGCAGCAGGCGCAAGGCCGGCGATGCGAAACACGGGTGATATTCTCATCATCCTTTTCATTCATTCACGTTCTCGTGTCAAACTACCGTGGCTAGCGATTTGTTCCCAAAAATGTTTTTGTAACGTTAGTGTTAGGGACGTTTGAAAGTCTTTGCAGAAACACCCGGTATAATGGCGGACCCGCGACTCCAGCAAAACGCCATTAGAGGGAGGCACATGTAACGTTGTTCGTCGATATTGACACTTCTTAAAGGGGCACTGACACATCAAAATCATATTTTTTTTTATTATCCGAAACGATTGAAAACGATGCCGGGACATTACCCTCAAAATTTGAAATTTGGGAATTCAGTATTCGTGAAGTAAAAAAACAATTTCCAAATGCCGAATTCGAAGTTCCCGCGCAATCGGCGCCGGTGCCTTGACGTCAAAAATTGCGCATTCCTGAGAGTCCACTTTCTTTCACCACTCCCTGCTGTTGCCATGGCGACCCAAAGCGAGGAGGAAAGGAGCGAGCGCCCGCGTTGCGGCGGACCGGTTTTGAGCGGTGTCGCCTGTTTTCCGTTGGAGGATACAAATCCAGGAGACGGCACCACAACGAACTCCCGATTTTTGGTATTTCAAAAAGAAGGGCCGCAGTGCGTTCGCAATTGCGTTAAAAAACATGTTTTAGGATTGCCGTAATTAAATGCTATAGAGATGTCGCCTACAAAGCTTCTAAATTTCCTGATTTTTGACGTCACCGATCAAAAGAAGCGAGGAGGCGAGAGGCGGGAAAATCAAGCGCCAAAAATAAAAAGGCGCGCGCGCGCGCGGGAAAATTTTTTTTTGCGATGCGGTTTTTTTTGCGTGTTTATGACTGCAACTTGCATCGTTTTAGACAATAAAAATAAATACGACCTTTGGGGTGTCAGTGCCCCTTTAAGCAACAATTACTAGGAGACATATATGCACATCCACGGTTTTTCTCTCTGTCTGCACAGTTTGTCGCTGCGCCGGGAAACTTCATGTACGCGCTGTACAGAAATTTCAACAGTGACCGTGAAAACAAAGGAACAAACAAGTGTGTCATGGTACAGAAAGTGCCCTATAATGATACAGGGGAGACAAAATTTGCTAACTACACAAAGTGGTACAACGGAACAACATGTTTATCGTAAGTTAAATTGGATTTCATTCATAGTAAACCAAACACTCTGAATTGAAAACAAATGTGGAGCTTATAAACGCACAGGTAACAAACTCTTGTTTTCAGGTACGCAATCCGGTCGTTCTACCACCTCGTACAGTTGAATGGAACTGTAGGTACAACAAAAAACGTATTGGTGGCACGGCATCAAGTTGGTAAGCGTCAGACTCTATTTGCGGGAATACTGACAGCTCGTCGTGACACTGTCCTAGAAGGCACAATTAAAAAGTAAACAATTGCAGTTGTGCTTAATGCGTTATAAAAATTTCTGCGCACCTCTTTTGCGGCACCTAGAGGCAGGTCAACGCGAATGACGGGAGTGCAAAAATCAATTGCCCTCCAGCACAAAATCTGCTTGAACAGAATGATCCTGGTGTTTCAAACATTGATTGTACCTGTGAAAATCGCGTTTTTATGGCCAAATCGCTCTTTGAGCGCATCGTCATTTGCTGGAAATGCCATAGATACGCCCATACGACCGAACAAAAAATGAATGCAGTGATATCTTTCAAGTTATGAACCCGAAGGAAAAATCCATCAATGTAACGCTGTTTGGCAGTCATTGTTTTCTAGTGGGCCGCTGACTGTGCCTGACTGTACGTCAAGCATGTCTGATTGGCCAACAAGTTACTCTGACCGACAGTCAAACTCCAGTCAGACCCCGCTTGTCGGCTTTCTGATGGTTTCCTGGTGGCAGTCGGCCGCCGCGAAATGCCATCAGAATGTCCTGGTGGTGATTCTGACTGTACATCGATTGTCTCTGACTGTACGTCAGAAAGCTTTGACGTGCAGACAGAAGTACGGTCAAAGGACGTAAAGTTCGTTCGGATACCACTATTTCGTCAAATCTATGAATACGAAAAGTAATCTATGCACGAGAAAACGATTTCGGGACGTGAGCCCATAAAACCGCTGACGTTAGAGATATGACACGCAACCGACCGACAACCTTGATCAGAAGCCCACCGAAGCGCCGAACACGACACTTCGCACTTCGCTTCGCCCATAAATGCTTCGCCTAGCTTTCATGAACTATCGCTCTCGACTCGTTTTGTTTGCCCGCTTGCTCCAACCTGTCGATCCTGCCCGGGCTCTACAATGTCTTATGTTTTAGTAGAATTTCTACTCGACAAGACCCAGCCTGTTGTGAGTTCCGACGATGTAAGGGACTTTAGCGGTGTAGTTGAAGACGACAAGGTGTACCAGGTCTACTGGGCCGATGACGCGCGAACAAAAGGATCGTTCTACGACGCGAAAGTACTCTACATGGCAGGTGAGTAGAACTGAAGTACGGCGAGTGATGTACGAGTGCTTTGCGCAACATGTTGACGGCTTAACTGCATTTGCAGCAGAAGCATCTCGTATAAAACGAATAGTCAAATCGAGTGTCTGTAGCTGTGGCGAAGCATAGCGGTTAAGGTGTCCGATTTGTACGCAAGCGGTCGCGGGTTCGATCCGTGGTAGTCCTGCTTTTTTTTTTTTTTTTTTTTTTTTTCTCGAACATTTTGTTTTATCGAGGCATTTGGCGATATTTATGAGTGCGTATAGCTTTACTCTTATATAAATGCTGCCCTTGTTGAGGAAAATCCCTTGGCAGTGGCAGTCAGACGCCATCTGATGAAAAATCAGATGACGTCTGATGGTCCATCACGTTCCACCGAGGCTGCTGACTGGCGGTCAGTGTCCCAAATTACGTATCTTGATGGAATTTTCAATAGGGAAAGGACTCAAGAAACAGTGGCCGCTTCTTTGCAATAACTTTGTTCCAAGCAAGGCCTTCCCTCACTGAAGGCGAGTTTTGCCGTTCACGACAAAGAGCATCTCCGTGACCTAGAAGTGTGCAGCCAAGCGGATTAGCGGCAAAGCGGATCCGGACGGAGCTTGTGCGCGCCTTTCCTGAGCGGATAGGATTTTTTACCTAGACGACAAAAGTCGTGGTTGGTGTGAGAGCCCTTACTTTACTCTGCAAGTATCTGCTCGGGAAGAACGCCTTTCAACGAAAGCCCATTCATCATATAAGTAAACATTTCAGCGAACTCCGATACGTCGACCTCCGTTTCATCAAATCTCTTGACGCCGATTCATGGAATTTCACCTCACCCAATTTTGGAGCGTTATAGTGAATTTTAGATGTTTTACTCTCACTTCTGAGTCGTTTTGACGCTGTTGTCGAATCATCAGAACTACAATTACTACCCTATCTCACCAAAAGTTTGGTTTTTGAATTATGAACGTAACGAAACTTGAGTGGGTATGCGACATACTGTTTTCAGGGAAGATAAGCGTCTGTACTCCACCAAATAATTTGTTTCCTTTTTTCACGCTAATATAATTATTCTTCGCTGCGCCTTTTTGTTTTAATTTGAATTTATCTATGTACTTGTGTTACTGTGTTTACTCATATAGGTATATGTATGTATGTGCCTGTCTGCAAGTGTGCTCGTTACCTTTTCGCCAGAACTGGAGATCGAAGCTAACGAAAACACGCTGGGATTCCATTTTCTATGTATTTTGTCATTAAAGGCAACGTGGGCGTTATTTTGTTTACCTGCCACTACTAGAAGCTCGTTACATGGCACGTAAATAGCGTCTCGGTAAGGATCATGGCCCGGGCCCGGGGGGAGGTACTGTAAGGTTGTGCGGCAAAACCCCATTTATTTTCGTTTAAAATTGTTCCATGTTATATTAAGCGGCGGAATGCCAAAGAATGAAATTGGTTCGGACCAACAGGCTTTCTTCGAAGATGCGCCTTTTGTCCGGTGTCATATAACTAGGGTGCGGGGGCCACCTGGTCCGTGTGAGTTATGACCGGGGAGCGGGGCTAGCCTCGCCTCACCAGAGCGACCCCTTGCTCTGGTTCTGTTGGCGCTTGCTTCGCTTTTAGAAGTTTGCTTTGATTTTGTTGTCGCTTGCTTCGCTTTTAGAAGCTTGCTTTGGTTCGTTTCGCTGGCTTGGGTTTGAGAGGTTCGCTTTGGTCTTTTCCCGCGAAATGAGTCAGTCTGGAACTGGGAGCGGAGAGAGACGGACTTCTCAGCAGCACCCTCCTAACCCACACTCCGGCAACAAGTGCGCCGATATCTGGCACCGTACTATTTCTGATACCTTGCTTGATTGACGGTCCTCAATTTTCTATTAAATTACTTTTCATCTTTACGAACGTCTGAGCGGTTTGGTGGTCTGCCAGCGAAGTCACAGGTGCGAGCGGAATTGCTGGACGTCCGGAAGCTTTTCAACAAGCGACGCCCGGCAGCGACGAAACATCCATCGTCGACAGAACAACGAAGCAAAGAACCTTTACTGGTACGAGCCTCGATGCTCCCCCCGAAGTCTACGCCTATGCGCTCAGTTACCGTGGCAACCAAGGACACAAGGCTCGTCGTAACGTAACGTATACTTCAGATCGGTTTAAGTTTTCACACTGCACCGTTTTCTTACGTTACGTCTCAGTCACCGAAAAATTCGTGTCTCGAACGTCGCGTGCCAGGCTCTCTCCTTGAATTGGTGGCCACGCTTAATACGAAGCACAGATTTCTTAGTAACGTTTCCTAACGTAACGCAACGTAAGAAAAGGAGTCTGTGTGAAGCAGCCTTAACACTGCGACGAACTTCGGTTGCTTCTCCTCCCTGCTGTCTCGCTTATGAGCGGCAGTGCGGGGCATGCGTCTCGCAATCCCCTGGTTGCGTCTCCTTCTTCCAAACACTATCTTGGGACCACGGTGCAGGGGCGCCCCAGCAAGTGTGTCTGCAACCTTGTTGGTCGAGTCTTTTTGGTACTCAACTGTATTGGAGACGCGAGAGATCGAAAGCGTCGCTGTGGTCAGCCTGCCATGATTGGCAGAATACTGACTATGTCGTCAGGACAGGATTTCTCATCCACCGAAATAAAATTAATGTAAGAACTTCAATTTTAACCGTGATTGCAGTGTTGCATTCAGCGCGCAATGATTACAAGCTTCCACCATGCTCATTACAAATACCATCGAACTTGTTGTTCGCGAGGCAATGACGTCACGAGAGGAAACCATAGGAGAACGCCACCAAAACATCTCGCCGCTAATAGGGGTTTTTCTGTAAGGTGGGTGCCTACCTAACTAATACCCATGCCACATAGGCAACTCGAATGACATTTATAATGAATGACATTTGTGTGATCGGCGAATCAGCTCGCAATCTGTCGCGCGTGGAATGCGCTACGCCCGGAGTATCGCGCTGATTGGCCGTCCGCTCAAATGTCATTATAGTTGTAAATGGCATTCGAGTTGCCCGTGCGGTAGGGGTATTACTTTCCCGCCAACTTTTTCAACCTTTGAATCCAGGTTAGAGAGGCATGGTCTGTCTGGACTAAAGTGGTCCCGTCTAAGTACAAGTCAAACTTCTTCAACGTGAACATGACGGCTAGCGCCTCTTTTTCCGTCACGCTGTAATTGCGTTCTGGCGGCGTAAAGGTTCGACTGGCGAATGGCACTGGTCGTAGCTGCCCGTCATGTTCCTTCAATAACACCGCTCCGACACCGTAGTCGCTCACATCTGTCTGTACAACGAACGGGCGGTTAAGGTTTGGCAGGCACGGGCTGGCTGTATCTGCTATCGCCTTCGTGAGCGAAGGGAAGGGTACCTCTTGTTCTCGGCCCCAGGCCCACTTGAAGCCCTTGTGGAGGTTCAGCCCTCGAGTAGAGTTCTTGTAATGCGCGAGTGCTGAGTGCAGCTAGCCAATTAGTCCCTAATCCGCATCTCATAGTCAGGAGGTACAAATTCCTCCGTGACTCGCACCTGAAAGTCTGCCATTGACTAGAACGGTCTTTGCAGCCGCCTCCAGCGCGCGGCGTCGCCCGTCAATGCTATCGGGACGATCTGCGTCAAGGCCGTCGTGTCCGATGCCCCTCACGCGGCTATGTATGCGTCCAAGTCCTGAAGGAAATCGTGCACCGATTTACCACCTGAATATAATGAGTAACTCGGTGTGGGAACGCTTAACCGCGGGTCGGGTACGGACGTCGATGCGGTATTCGCGACTGTTGGGGCTGTTCCCACCTGTCGCGAAAACGTCTCGAACATCGCCGTTATGGAACGTAGAAGTTCGCTGACGCCTCCCGCTCATGTCTCCGTAGCCGTGGGCAAAATCCCGGCCCCCCGCGTCACTGCGCCGTCCGCCTGT